CCGCCAAGCCCCGCCCCCGGGGACGCCCCTGCCGAGCCCCGCCCCGGGGACACCTCCCGCGGGGCTCCCGGGGCAGGGCCAGCTTGCTTTGCTCGCATCCCTGGCTGTCCCAGGGAAGGGGGGGAAGCACTGTTCGCGGATGTGCTCTAAAGACGTCTGGAACGCGGCTCTCCTCCGGGTTCCCCGTGGGTGGGAATGGCGGGCTGTCCTGTGCTGTGACCCGGGCCCCACCCCGTTGGTTACAGGTCTCAGGTGCTTCCTTAGTCAGAGGCGGCTTAGTGGTGGCCGCCTCCTAGTCCTGGCTGGTGTGGCTCAGCGAATGCGCATCGCCCGGTGCACCGAAAGGGCACGTGCCCGGGTTGCTGGCCTCGTCCCCAGTAGGAGGCGCGCAGGAGGCAGCCGATCGATGTTGCGCTCTCACACCCATGTTTCCCTCTCTCCCTTTCTCTTCCTTTCTCTCTAAAAAATTAATGAAAATATTTTTTAAAATTAAATAAATAAAATTAAATACCACGTTGCCTTCTTGTAGCCCTTGGCCAGGCTGAGCCCAGCATGCTTTAAATTATGTGGTCATTCCCGTTCCCAAATTTGGGTTTTTTTAATTGTTTTCACTTCTAATGAGATTATTGTGGTTAAGATGTCAAATCTTTAGATAGGACCTTATTTTCACTGAAGACAGGTGACAGAGTAGATTGTAGCCATCACAGCATTTAAAGCCTAGGAAATGAAATAAAATTACCACGCTCCCCCTGCCCCAAAAAAAGTAAAGCGAAAGAGTGTGTACGTTGGTTTTGCGTTATATGTGACTTTATGGGTGCATGTGGCTGGGTTGGACAGTCGAAGAACCATGAATTTTTAATGTGCATGTCACACCGTTTAGAGATCAGGTTTCTTACAGGTGTTGTGCTTTGATTTTTCAGAATTTCTACAAAGAAATTGAAAGAGAAGAAATGTATATAAGGTATGTGGGGAGCACGCTTGTCTGCACCCGCTACGTGTCTGCTGCAGCTGCTGTTCGTCACGCCCACGCTAAGGAATGCTTTAGAACCGCAGGGGCTTCCCTCGGGGGAGATCGTGAGGCCTAGAGGTGGAATTGGATTCAGAGCCTGGGTGCCGCTGGTCCAGGCCCGTGCGGAGATGGGGAGTCACACTTAGCCGGCTCAGAAGCAAAGATATAAATGATTATCTCACAGGGTTTTTGTACCTCTCGACCGACCCAGAACCCTATGAAAAAAGGCGCCACCACAATTTTGTGTTTCCCACTGAGCCGTAGGGTCAGATGAAGGGTCCCGCTTTAGCTTTATGGGAAATGTGAAAACCATTCTGTCTTTTCCTGTCCTGACACCTTAGTCTCACGTTCTGTGTTGTCTGCTGGATTTTTGTCCGTCGCCTGCCTTTTTCCCGAGAGTGGTGGGGTGTGACTAACCCTCCTCCCTGGTCACTTTTAGGGGCCAGTGTCAAACATTCAGCAGGATCCCCACTTCGAGGACCAGGATAAGGGCACCATCCACGGGCACTAGCATGTGATAGTGGGTTTATCACACCAAGGGCCTTTTCTAACTTTGGATATTTCAGATTTTTTTTTTTTTTTACCTTTTCCTTTGGGGGGAAAAAAAAAAAAGCCATATGAATATAATAGTAAACTCTGGGGGAAACGGTCAAGTTTCTTTTATCCAAAAATGTAGGTCGCTTTACACTAAAGCAGCCTTTATTTCTTTGTGGCAGAGGCATTCTTTGGGTCATATCCACTGTGACCCTCAGAGCTCTTTTTTCTTACGTATGGGTTTGTGTTTTCGTGGATTTTTTGTGTGTGCATGTGGACTCAGTGGTAACATAAGAAATCGCAGCCAAGCATTGTGCCATCTCACTCCATGTGTCCGGAGAAACCCTGGAATAGATGGGAAGGAATGAGAGACCTTGAAGTGCAGTTTGGCCTAATCTCATCTTCAGTTTTGTCCCGAAAAGAGGGGGCTTATTTTTAAAAATTACTGCCTGTGACTCTGGTTGGGGTTTTTTAGTGCTCTCTGCAGCAGATGTTTCCAGGGCATTATGAATTGAGAACATTCTATGAAGAACGCAATAGGCACGATTTACTGCCGGAGGTAGAACTTAGCTCTTGCCGTCGTCAGTGCAAATCATTTGGTGACATTTTAAGAACACACCTGCATTTCATCATCGCAGGTACCTGTACAAACTGTGTGACCTGCACAAGGAGTGTGACAACTACACGGAAGCGGCCTACACCCTGCTCCTCCACGCGAAGCTCCTGAAGGTAACGGATCACTGCGCGCTTTTACGAGGCCGTCCTTGCAGGTGCTCAGATGATATAAAACTGTTTTCCAGGCCATTTTAGAAAACCTGTAAGTTAAGATTTTATGGGTGTTGACTAAATGCAGTTATATAAACAGAGATATTTAGGAAATACTTTGATGATAGGTTCGGCCCTGTCAAAGGCAGATTTGACAAGGTGTCATAGCAGGCTGTCACTGAGCATCGTAGACACGCAAACACCCGTCATGGGCTGTCAGCTGGCAGAGTTAGAGATGCCGCGTTCCCCCTTCACGCCGGCAGGGCTCACGAGGAGGAGTGTCTGTGCGGCTGGAAGAGCTAAGACGGGCACACACCCCCTGCCTCACCTTAGCGGAGTCCTGGGACCAGCTCACGGTGCGGGAATTCCAGGCCACCTCTAGCTGAGTATTTTAGAATGTGGGCAGGTCACTAGAGCATCTTCTAATTATATCGTTATTTTAAAAAAAAGAAAGAATGAAAAACTGGAAACTGGATAAACAAGAACAGTTGAGAACTAGAACGTAGTGCGTGGCCCTGCATACACACTGCTCACTCGAGGGTCCTGTTTCCAATCTCAGGCCAGCGCCCGGAAAGCTGGGTGAAGGAAAACCAGACGTGATTTATGTTAAAACGGTCCCCAGGCAGTGCCTACTGGGTGAGGCTGGCACTGAGGAGTTCTGCTAGGCAGGAACCTCCCAGCCCTTGGCCCAGTCCGTTCTGCCCGAGGGTGGGTGGAAGGTGGCACTGGCCCTCCCCTGCCCTGGTGGCACTGCTCACGCACCACTTTTTCTCAGTGGTCAGAGGACGTGTGCGTGGCCCACCTCACCCAGCGGGATGGGTACCAGGCGACGACGCAGGGACAGCTGAAGGAGCAGCTGTACCAGGAGATCATCCACTACTTCGACAAGGGCAAGGTAAGGCGCTGGTCCCGTTTCCCCCGCGTGCACCTTCCTGCGCCACGTGAACACACTTCTGAGCACGCGGTGCTGTGCAACCGGGAACCTGTTACAGGTTGTGTGGTGGAGGGTTTGATGCGTGCTCCTAAGTAGAAATCTTAAAAAAAAAATTTTAAACTCAATCGCCCTTTTATAGACGCTGTGCTGAAAGTGGGGATTAAAAACAAGTATTTTCACAGTCCTGCCAGAGAGAGCCATGGATTTGGAGGCGGGCTCCACCCCAGCTATCTGCCCTCTGCCCACAGTGTCTCCCTTTTCCTCAGTGTGCTCTTTGATCCTGACCTTCTTGCCTGCTGTCTCCACACGTGGAATCTTCCCACCTTCTGGGTGCGTGTCCACGCTCTGTCCGCCTGGAAGGCGTCCTGCCCCTCCATCCCAGCAGCATCCTCGCTTTGCCCTGCCTTGGAACCTTTCATCTCTTTATGTGGATCCTGTGTCCCCTACTTAGAGTGCCTTACACTTTAGTGGCCCTGAGTCCCGTGGGATCTTGTTAACGTGCAGATTCTGACTCCCTAGGTCCCCAGTGCGACCTGAGATCCCACATTTCTGAGCAGCTCCCAGTACTGAGAGTGCAGCTGGTCCAGGGACTCCCTTGGTCACCAGGCCCTGCTTTGGCTGGAGCTACCTGAGGACAGGGCAGGCAGGCTGTGTCCCTCTGCGGGGACCCACTGCTGCACACAGGCTGGGCACTCAGTCATTGTTTAAATAAACTTGATTTTTTAGCGCAGTTTTAGGTTCACAGAAAAATTGAGGGTTCCCACCTCGCATCACTCACTGTTGTCATCGTCACTGTGATTCATTTTTCACTGAATTACGCACATTCTGGCCAGTGCTTGAGTGAGACTCGAAAAGGCCACCATCACTCAGACATTCCAGCAAATTCCTTACCATCAGGCCTGTTTGTCTCTTTAGTACGGTCTTGCCTCCTGACCGAGCTCTGGGCCCCTGAGAGGTCTGAAGTGCGTGTCCCGACCCCGGTGGTTCCCCTGGGCCGGAACCCAGACATCGCCCCTGCCGTGGGGGCCTGGTAGTGTGTATCCTCTGCTGGCCGCTTCCCCGAGCCCAACTCTGACCACATTTGGTTCCACGTTCCGCATGCAGAGGCGCTGGATCAGACAAACACAAGGTCTTGCAAGAACAGGGCCGGCTTTCCCTGCCCAGACGCCTGTTTACCTGTTAGAAATAGCAGCCTTCGTTCAGAGTGATCGTAGGTGTCCCAGGTGAGTGAGCAGGGACAGACACACAGGGAGGGCCCTCCCGGGAGCGCCCGGGACAGTCTCTGCCGTAGCTGCTGACACGGTTCCATCCGGGCTGCGTGCGGAGTTGCCCCTGAGCACAGGCATATTCAAATCCCGGGACTTTGGCTCGATTTGATTTCAGGGGGGAAAATTGCAATTCTGCTTTAAAACCATCTATTCGGCTAAGGGTCAATACCACAATTAAACTTGAAGACCAGCAGTTGAAGGAAATCACGAAATTAAAAAATGGGAATTAATGGGGCCAAAGGATGACTCAGGGGTGGCTCCATGGAAACAGGCTGTCACCTTGCGTAATTAAGGAAACCTTCACATGTCCTCGGGGTGTGGAGCTTTACACATCCCAGAGCAGATTCTTGCTGTTTCAAATTTATGCAGCTACCCAGGGGAGATGGGGACTGACAGAGCCCAGGCAGGCTTTTCCTGTGCAGACCTGGGGCAGCCGGCGGCCGTGGCCTGGCCCGTGGATGGCATGACATGGTGGCTGCAGGGACACCTGAGGTTCTAGTGGGAGGCTGGGCCGGATTCTCATGAAAGTTTCTCCAGTCCGCACTCTGAAAGCAACAGCGGCGGATGGATAGATCTTCTGTTTCTTTATATGGGACACTCTGGCATTTGAATTACGTTTGAATGTCTGCCTGTATTACTTCCACACAAAATCATTCTTTCATTTTTTGCTTCTCCCCCGTTTTGAAAGGTTTTCAGTGTCTTTCAGCCCAGCCCCTGGTCTCTCTGTCTTTTTCTTTCTCTCCATAAAACGTCATTTCCACCTCTGCAGTTCTTCCTTCCTGGGCCGACAGTCCCGTCCAGCCCTCGCCCATTGTGCCATGGCCACCCTCTCAAGTGTCCCCCTGAAAGCCTCCGTCGGGTTTAATCACGGCAGACGGACGAGCGTTCTTGCCTGAAGAGGCTCTGAATTGTCTGTCGTATTGTGTGTGGCGGAGGCCTAGTAATTTTCAATAAAGCCTTTAATCCGAGCTCTTCACTGGAAATTGCCAGGCTTCTCTATGGAGGTTGAGTCCAAAATAGAGCTGCCAGCAGGACATGCAGTCGGAGCGAGGGCGCCGGCGATCGCGGACGCAAAGCCACCTCCGAGCCCATGAGCAGCCTGGCGGCGGCCACCGTAGAAGGAGGCTGGTGGACAGCCCACGTGACGTGGGAAGCTGTGACTATTTTCAACTGCAGCTCTGTTTTTTCCTCTCTGAAAATAACCTCGCCCTGACAAAGTTCGCACTTTGCCTTGTGCCCAAGTCAAAAAAACGAGGCGTCTTGCATCATCTCGTGAACCAAAAATAGGGGCTCGGGAGCAAGTTCCGGTTTTGTTGAAATGATTGGGTTTCTTTTCTAAGTATTGGGGGTGGAATTTTCTCATCTTGTGAGTTCTGTACTTTAAAACCACTGTTCTTAAGAGGAGTTGCTGGTACAGGCACAGTGACACCTCTGGTTTATGCTCAGTATTTCCAAAGTTTTTGAAAACCCTGATATTCTCCAGAATATATTAAATTAAGCAGAACTTGGCCTGGGTGTCCGTTTGATCTGCCCCTGTGAAAGGCATCGTTTGCTACTGAGGCATCATTTGTTTACTACTGAGGCATGGGAAATCAATTTTCAGAGTCAGCAACATCACTGCGCCCCCACGCTCTGCTCCGCAGCATCTCTAAGGAGGGTTTTCTGTTGCGGCTGTTGTTTAAGCCCCACCCGAGGATATGTTTTTATCGATTTTAGAGAGAGAAACGTCAATGTGAGAAACATCTACCAGTTGCCTCCCGTATACACCCCGACGGGATCAAACCCACAGCCTAGGTACGCGCCCTGACCCGGAATAGAACCTGCCGCCCTTTGGTGCGCGGACGGCGCTCCGACCAGCCGGGCCTCCTGGTCTGGCTGGATCTGTAAGGAGTTTTATTACTAATAAGCCTACTGTGTGCCAGGTACCACCCAAGGTGGAGAGGGCACAGGCCGGCTCAGGGCCTGCAAGGCTAGCTCGGGGGGGTACCGGTGATCAGATGAACAGCAGCCTGTCCCGCTGGGGGACGCTGGGGCACCATCTGACAGGTGGGGCGTGGGCTTCGCCTGCAGAGAAGATGGCACTAAACTGGTGCTTGATGAATGGGACTGATTTTGCCCGGCGATGGGAAGAGCAGGGATAGCAGAGTAGAACCAGCCCCAGCAAGACAAGGGCTCCCTCCTGCAGTCGCTCACTCAGCTGGAGCAGCGGGGAAGTCTGTCTGCTGGGGAGGGCGCAGGCCCTTCGCAGCGGGGCTGCAGCCCCGGGGCCCCGTCAGCCCCCTCCCAGGGGGACGGGAAGAGGCTCTCCCTCACGGCACCCCCGCACGGGTGCTGAGTGGACAGGACCTAGTGCTAGTTCTGGGCCACCTTTGTCCCCGCTGGTGCAGGGGGGACCTCAGCCGGTGCCCCGGATTCTTCCACATCGATGGATTTCTGTCACGTCAGGGACCTGTGTGCGACACTGGAGATCAGAGGGCTCTGGCATGTGACCCTCTTCCCGGCAGCCGTCTAGAAACGCAGGTGAATTTTAGGAGAAGGGCTGAAGCTCCAGCGGCCCAGGCAGCACCTTCCCTGGTGGGTCACTTGCAGCCAGTGAGCGGGTTAAATCCGAGCTGCCCGCGGGTGTCCCCAGAGCCGCCGCCCGCCTGAGGGTCCGTTAGGGCCAGTTGCGCAGCTGGCGCCTTTCCTTTGTCCAGCACTCCCGCCTTCTCCCATGACATCGATCGCTGCTGTCATCCTGTCCGACCGGCCATCACCGGTCTCGTTCATTCCCCGTAGGAAATCAATAGCTGATCTGCTCTGGGCAGCCACTTCCGTCTTGGAAGTTGTCACCAGGGGGAGGGGAAAAAAAGTTTTCAATTCGTGAAACTTGCGGAAATGGAGCTTCCTGAAACCGGCAGGTGCAGGAAGAAAAGATTGTCATCTCAGGAGAGCGTAGCTAAGATCATCCCGGGGTGGGCCTGTTCTGTGTTGCAAGCAAACTGACAATTTCGAGAATGCCAGCAAACGGATTAAGGATTTCACATCAGAAAATAAAGCTGTGCGTTGAGATGGGGCTTTTCCATTTCGGCTGCGGTGAACCTCGGATGCCCGGGGCACTTCCAACAACGGAGCCCAGGCAGGCCATTCAGTCGCACAAGCTAAAGCGATTTCCTCACCGAGATCATCTAAATCTAGATCTGATTGAATCTGTGTTCTCTCCGGCACTACCTGTTTTTCGAAGCATTCACAGTGGAAATACGAGTTCTCCACACTCCTTAGAGCCCTGTCCTGTTAAAAGCAGACGAAAATCTCCTTGAGGCAGAATCCTCTAAAACTGGCTGGGTAGCGGGGTACATGTGTGTATAGTAAACCCAACAGAAGGCACAGCCGAGTGACCTCGGGATGCATTGGATAAGATAGTTATTCCAGACTTATCTATGTTTTACAAACAATTGCAAAAAATAAAAAAATAAAAATAAACAAATTAAAATTAAAAACTAAAAACAATTGCTTTGATGTGCATCTAATGCATCTGTCATTTCGGGCAAGAGCACGTTAAGCGATGACCTAACGTTCCAGGCAGCTAAGGGCGCTGAGGTAGCCTGCAGAGCAGCAGGGCCGAGTCCTGGAGGCAGAACTAAGGGCGAAGGTAATGTTTCCCTTGAAATGGAAATACCTGAGCCTAGAAGAAGCATGAGGGAGAAAACTCCCCTTCCTGGAAATGCGAGTAGAGGACCAGAGAAAGATCAGATGAACAGAGTAAGATTTTCAGAGACTGCCAGGTGGCTTTGAAAACTTAAGCGGGAAGGAGGCCTGGGGGTGGGGAGGTGGTTCTGGGGAGGAGCCAGTGCGGCCTCAGTAGGACGGACGTCTCCGCCTCCTCTCTTCCCTGAAATCGTTTTCTGGATGTATTTTTACTTTGTCTTTCAAAGTATTAAAATGCAACCCTTATTTCTGAATAGCTTTTTTCTTACCAAAAAGAGAGATGGTTTCTTTAAGCCGTAGCTGTGTGAATAGTATTTTAAGCCTATGGGGTGATTTGGTAATAAGTAAGGCCCTTGGTGGGGTCATTCTACGAAGGAAAGGCAGAGACTAGCCGGCGGGTGAGGGCTCAGTGCCAAGGGTATGCCAGGTGTGGGGCTTATAGGAAAACAGTGAGGGAGAGTGGACACTCCCAGGAGGGCTTCCTGGAAGAGACGGTTCCTCTGTATTTTCCATGTTCTCCTCGAGTAAGCCACTTTCTTTTCTTTTTCCCAAAGAAAATAAGGGAAATCCAGGCCCACTATATGTTTCAAGAAATTATCCCACAGGTGTCCAAAGTTTATCAGCATTTTAATAAATATACTACCATAGAAAGTTCCCCCCTTTAACATGATAGCCGGCTTTACAGCCTCACACTGGGAACTTCCTACAAGCCTTAGTTTAGTGCTGAAATAGATCCCGGTCTTTCCGACCATTGAAACAGGGCGGTTATGAAATGGGACGATTTGGGAAAGTGGCCAAATCATGCTCGTCGCAGCCTCTCATTGCCCTGCAGTCCCTTTCCCGGCTCCTCGGCTGGCTGTGCAGATGGGCTTTGGTGGCCGTGAACGTCAGAAGGGCTGTGGGCAGAGGCCACGTGACTCACGAGCCAGGAGGTGGGCAGGTTGCTCAGCGGATGCCGATCCTGAGCCAAAGACGTGAGCCTCTAGGAACTGTTTGTCTTTTCCCGCATTACTCGCATAGTAGCTTCGATTGAAGCAAACTTACCTCCGAATTGTTGTATCACAAATGCGCATCTACCATCTTACGCTGTGGCCGCATGATTCAGGTTTGGGTTTCTCTCTCCCTCTTCCCCTCTCGCAGATGTGGGAGGAGGCCATCGCCCTGGGCAAGGAGCTGGCCGAACAGTATGAGAACGAAATGTTCGATTATGAGCAGCTCAGCGAACTGCTGGTAGGTCCTTCTTTCTGCATCGAGGAGCCCAGGCGGCCGCTACTCTTTCTGGCCTTTCCCTTTCCCTTTCCGCTCGGGGCTCTCCCGTGGCCTTGGCCAGCGTCCTGCCTTCGTCCCGAGGACAGTCTCGGTGACCCGCCGGCTGACCCTGGCCCGCGAGCAGCCCCTGCCCATGGCCTGCGAAGTTTCGGTGCCGGCCTCAGGCTTCCCGGGGGGACTGGCATGCGAGCGGCACCGGCCCCGCGCGGGGGCCCTGACGCCGAGCCCCTGGGACCCGTGTGCCAGGGCGGGTGCAGAGCAGCCCAGAGCTGCTCCTGCCACGGAAGCTGCCCATTCCTCCCTGCTCCCCGCTCCCTGCCCCTCCCACGTCACCCGCTTAATGGCGTTGTGGTGTTTATCACTATTTGAGAGCAGAAATCTGTCCTTTTAAATTCTCCTTCAATGTGTCTCAGTATCTGATCAACACCGTTCTTTAAAATCCTAAAGACCAGCCGCTTGATCAGAAGACAGACCTTCCCTGGGCCCCTGTGAGTCGCAGCTGGTCGCTGAGCGTGGCCTTTTGGGCTGGGTCTCCCTGCGGGTGCTGCAGGGTGAGGGAGAAGCACCGTCGGTGCGGCCTCGTGCCCTGCCACCCTCCGGGAACTGCCAAAGCCCGACGCGCCCACCAGAAGCATCTGGAACAGAACCCCAAATGCTGTTAAACCTGAAACACATTTCCTTACTTCCTTTCAGAAAAAACAAGCTCAGTTTTACGAAAACATCGTCAAAGTGATAAGACCCAAGCCTGACTACTTTGCCGTTGGCTACTACGGGCAAGGATTTCCCACATTCCTTCGGGTGAGTTTTGATGTTTTGGTCCTAGAGCCCCCTTTCTATTTGGAGGACGGGTTTGGGTTTGGGTTTGGCATCCATGGGTCGGAGTCTGACTCTCCATGCTGAGCCCCGGTTGCCAGAGGGGGAATGATAATATTTTATTTGATTGCATATGAACTTTCCATCTGATTTTTCCTAAACTGAACTGTTCTTCAGAGATTTCTGTGTAGTTTTTTGACCTGTGGTAAAATATACATAACATAAAATTTACCATTTTAACCGTTTTTAAGTGCACAGCTCAGTGGCATTAAGCACATTCACATTGTTACACAACCACCACCACCACCATCTCCAGATCTTTTTCATCTTCGCAAACTAGAAACTGTCCCCAGTAAATGATAATTCCCCTTCTCTGGTCCCCCCACTCCTGGCACCCACCATCCCGCTTTCTGTCTCTGACTTTGCCTACCCTAGGGACCTATGTACGTAGAATCATAGTATGTGTCCTTTGTATCAGGCTCATTTCTCTTAGACCTATGTCATCAAGGCTCATCCACATTGTAGGAGGTGACAGAATTTCATTCCTTTTCATGGCTACATAATATTCCATTGTACAGACAGACCACATTTTGTTTATCCACTTGTCCTCTGATGAACATTTGGGTTGTTTCAAGAATTAGGAACAACACTGCTGTGGACTTGTGTATTTTTAACTATATGAGACTCTGGAAATGGATTTCTGGTGCTAGAAACTCTACATCACACTGTATCCCTGAGACGGGCATGTGCCATTGGACACATGATTGAAGAGATACTGTGATCATGAGCCGAACGCCCGTTCCCCGTGCCCATGAGGCCAGAGGAGAAGTTGTGTGAATAAAGGCTGCCTGGCCTCCCAGTAGAATTGTTTCAAGTTTCTCGAAAACTCATCCTCAGATGCCGTTGGCCAGTGAGTCATGATTTCCTGTCATTTCTCATGGCATTTTTTTTAATGGCACATGGTATTCTCTTATCCTGGGAGACGACATGATTTCTGTAGTTTTAGGGAAGCAGAAGCTGTGTGCCCAGCCCACAGCTGTGCAGGACAGTTAGATCCAGCGAGGAGATGTTCCTAGTCCCAGGGTGTGTCCCTTAGCCCCACCACCATTTCTGGTTCCACAGGAGTCCCCGATACTATCTGACACCCCTTCATGCTGGCATCTGTAGGAAGGATGTAGTTGGGGAGGACCTGTCATTGTTTATAGGAATGTCAACAGGTGACCCTGGCAGGGCTGGCCTGCTCCAGAAGTGACCTGTTGGTTGATCCACCCCATCAGGGTCCTGGCTGGTTGACTGGGCACCTGGCCCTGCCCTGTCACTGAGGGTCACTCTGTCCTTGATGCCATTGCCTTCATCGTATAGCTGAGGCAGTGTGCATCTGAGATAGGGGTTGGCCAGAAACCCAGATTCTGGAGAAAGCCTTCCCTTCCAAAGAAAGAATAAAGTACTAAAGTATGTTCGGTTGTGAACCCTAAATTGGGGGAGATTTTGAAATTAACTTTATTTTAAATAAAGAAATCGAAGGGTGTAGTGAGCTTGGGGTAGAAGTCACCTAGCGTTGCCCAGGGGTTTAATTGATGTGTGTGAGTCTGCATGGGTGCCCTTGTGCCCATCTGAGTAAGAGGGAGAGAGACGGACCTGAATCGTGGCTCGCCCGTGTGGTGCTGGGTGTTACCGTGTCTGTGGCCCTCTGTGGACAGTGCTGGGATTTGAGGCCACTAACCATGGCTCTATCCTGGTGTCCTGACGTGCCAGCTTGGTGGGCATTGTTCCCGAGCCAACTGATGCCAGGGATGTGCTGGGAGGGGACACATGGCAAGTGCTCCAGGGACCACGCCGGGTCATCCCCCCACCAAAAGGACAAATTGCAAAGTGCAAATTGCAATAATTTTGTGGGGCGGTAGCAATATACAGGGTGTCCCCCAAAAATGTATACACACTTTAACAGCTGATAGCTCAATTTTGAAAATGAAATGTATTTTAGTAAACACTGCCTGTATAATTATTCAGTATGTGTATACATTTTTGGGGGCACCCTGTAGTTATTCCACTCCACAGATCACCTGTCAGGGGTCAGTCTGACAATGACATTAGCAGTGACAAAAAGTGGGGACATATTTGGCTCCTGAATGCAGGGCTGGGACAGCTGCCCCTGAGGACCCACTAGCTGCCCCCTTTGCTTTGTTTTTTCTTTTCTTTAAGAATCGATCCCATTTTTTGTAAACCTATTAATACTTATGTCCCTTGCAGGGAATGAATATCTTTGACTGTATGTACATTTCCCCTTGTTTTCACATGTGAAGGGACCACTTCAGATTCCAAAATAATTAACATTTCTAGAAAACGTTATCAGTATTTTTGCCTGTAACTCGCTACTATTTTTCTATTAAAGCCATTATATACATTTTTAAAAATTTATCTGTATTGAAAATACTATAGATGTCCCCTTTTTTCCCCATTGACCCCGTCTACCCCGCACCCACTCCCGCCCCACGTTATATACATTTTTATTATAAAGTCTTCCTTCTGATGCAAAGCATAATAAATTCCTGCTCGTTCTGTAGTGCCTGTTACACATTAAATCTCCCTGAATTTCTGAAATGTTTGGCTTTATTTAGCCACGCCGCGTATTTATATTTCTGATTAAGACTACATATTACTTTGGTTTCAGCTTGATATTATTATTATTATTTTTTTTTGAGAAAGAGCACATTTTTCTTCTAGAATGGGTACTTTAAGACATACCTAAGCACAAAGTGAATGAAATATTCAATCCTTAAACTGTTCCATCTTTAATAATTTACAGGAACTCAGAATAAATTGAGACTAGGGAAGGAGATAAATTGAATACCAGAAGATCTCTCTTTATCTTTTGAAAATTCATTAATTAGACACATTTTAATGTGACTTTGAGCTGAGTCTCTGGGAGATACATGTAAAATACGCAGTGGGCTGCGGCTGTCCGTCGCCTGTCCCTCCCCTCCTCCTCTCTGGCATCTGCCCCGGGTCCAGGCAGATGGCAGGGCTGCCCTGACTTGTGACCAGCCAGCCTGCAGCCTCTTGCCCAGGCCTCGGGACCGGAACGGCAGATATGACCACTAACCAGGTCCCACCCGCCCGTTTCCCGGGCCCTGTGGCTTCTGCTCACTGCGTCTTTCTTGGTGCAGGTTTCTTCTGGGTTCAGAAGCCCCGAGATGGGGCAGGGTGGGCGGGGGAGGCAGGAGGCCGCAGGACCCAGCGGCGGCCTCACACAGTCTGCCCGCCGCCTCTTTCTGCCTCTGACACGCAGCACACACTTGTTGCATCCGGGAGGCAGAGAGACCTGGTGCATCTCGGAGTCAGAGCTCTCCCTGCAGAGATTTTCACAGAGGGGCCAGGTCCCGCCCAGGCAGGAATGGCCTCAGCAAGGCAACCTGTGCGAGGACGACCGCAGACCTGCCTGACACCCACCCCGGGGTCGCCCACCCGCCGTCCGTAACGAGCCCAGAGGGGCTCCCCAACTGGGAGCGCGTGGCGGGGACAACAGTGTCCTTGAGGTGGAGGGCCCAGCCTTTGGAAGGGGAGCTCTGTCTGTCCCGCCCTGGCATCGGTTGACGGATGCGGCCCGCACGGCAGCTCCGAGTGTGCGGCGAGGGCGCCCTGCTCTCCGCCGGGGAGGCCGGGAGCCACACTCTGCTCTGCTCGGGCCCGTTCCCTCCGGTTCTGCTGCAGCCGAGACTGGGCGTCTGCGCGGAGCGTCGGGCTCGGCTCTGAGGCCTCGCTCTGATCTGACGTCTCTTAGATTCCCCTTGGCGGGATGAAGGTGAATTAGATCCTACCAAGAAAAAATATATATATTTTATATATATACAGGGTGGGCGAAAGTAGGTGTACAGTTGTTCAGATGGAAAATAATACAGTAACTAATAACTAATAAACTGCTGTGTGCACACAACTGCACACCTGCCTTTTTGCCCCCCAGCCGCGTCTGGTGCGCGTGACCCCAGCACCCCCTTGCCTGGCGCCTGGGTTTCCATCCCAGGCGGCCTGGAGCGGGGCTGGGCTCTCACGTGGTTTTCCGTGGTTTTGTAACTTGGTGGTGACCCGAGTTCAGTCGCGTGTGTCCGTGCCGATGGCACGGTTTTCGCTGACGTGGGCGTGTCCTGGGTTCTTGATTGTAAGACGGGCGCAGTTACGCGTCGCTCCCCACGCCAGGGACTTTTCCTCGGAGCGGAGGCGGCCCTCTGTGGGACTTGCCCGGCCCCCCCGTCTGGGATTCACCGGGTGCCCTCGTTTGCAGGGAAAGGTCTTCATTTACCGCGGGAAGGAGTACGAGCGCCGGGAAGATTTCGAGGCCCGGCTGCTGACTCAGTTCCCCAACGCTGAGAAGATGAAGACGACCTCCCCGCCCGGCGCCGAGATCACCAACTCCGCCGGCCAGTGTATCCTTCAGGACGGACGGCCGCCCGGTCGCCGGGCCTGGGTGGAGGGGTGGGCGGCCTCGGGGCTGCGCTCACGGGGGTCCCCCCTGCCCGCCTGTGATCCTTGACCTCGTCACCCTCAGATATTCAGTGCTTCACGGTGAAGCCCAAACTGGATTTGCCCCCGAGGTTCCACAGGCCTGTGTCCGAGCAGATCGTGAGGTAACCCACCCGCTCGTCCTGCCCCGCGGGGGTGGGGCTGTCAGACCTTCTTGGCCGTTTCCTCGTGGAGACGCCGGGCTTAGCCTTGGCTCAGCTCCCCACACGCTCGCTCTGTGCCCTTAGAAGAGAAGGGACGCAGTGTTTTCAGCACCAAGAAGGAAGTGGGGTGCAGGGAAGGACGTCCGCGTCACCCGTGAACCATGTGGGGGTGAGGCCACCAGCCCCTCACGCAGTCAACAATCTGTGTAACTTTTTAAATGTCCAAGTCCTAGATTCTCCCTAGAAGGAATTTTTTTGAATATGTTTTTATTGATTTGAGAGAGAGAGGAAGGGAGAGGGAGAGAGAGAGAAACACCGATCGGCTGCCTCCTGCACGCACCCTGGTCAGGGATTTAACGCACAGCCTGGGTTTGTGCCCTGACGGAACCAAGCCCACAACCTTTGGTGCACGGGACAATGCCCGGCCACCTGAGCCACACGGGCCAGGGCCTGTGTGTAACTTTTGACTCTCCCAAAACATATTGGTCCCTCAGCATTGGGGGCATTGGTTCCCGGACCCCCCCTGCTCAAGTCCCCTATATGAAACAGCACAGAGCAATGCGTACAGTCAGCCCTCTGCATCCGGAACCCCAACCGTGGGACGGAAACAGTCACAGGTAATTACTGAAAAGAACCCCCGGTCAGCGGACCTGTGCAGTTCAAACCCGTGCGGTTCGAGGGTCCCCTGTAAAGGAATTGTAGGGAGAAGTCAGCATTCATGGCTGGGAGGGAGCGGGGAGGATTCCTTTATGGGGGCCGGGAGATCAGGGAAAATCGGGAGGGGGCACCTGTCTGCTACGACCCCCCAGGAGAGACTCCCGGAGTTTCAACGGCGCACAGGCCCCGCCGCCCGCAGCGTCCGAGTCAGGTGCCTGGGGTGTGGCGGAGCATTTGCGTCCTGCGAGGCAGGAAGGGGGGCTCCCAGGCTTGCCCCCCTTGGAGATCCAGACAAGGGTGAGAACCCCTCCACCCTACACACAGCGATCACGTAACATGGGACTAGAAGACGGATTTTAAAACTCAAGGGGCAACCGTCTGAATTTGAGCGAGATTTTGTGCCTCTCCTTTGAATTGTCCCTGGCTCAGCGATGCCGTAGAAACACCTGCTGCAGATGTTTCTTTGACCTTAAGACTTCCCTATTTGACCCATGCTCTGGTGACAGAAATTAACCTATTTGATGGCCTAACAGTGCTCAGGATCTGCTTATCTTGTAGCCTGAAGTGGGGTGGGTTGAGCCCTTCCACAAAATTCACTGTCATTCTTTAACCTCGTATCAGCAGTAACGGGAAATAAGCTGGGACTCTGCCCACCGAGGAAGGGTTGTGCCCATGGGGCTCCCATTTTCAGTTTTGCAGTGTTTCTCTCAGAGACATGAAGCGAATAGTGAAGCGTAGTTTTTGCTCAGATAGTTCCCTTTGACATCGGGAAGCCGCCTGCATTTCAGCGCAGGGGTCAGTCCGTCTCCCCAGCCCGCCTCGGGCACACGCGTGACACCCACCCCGCCCAGGCCGGAGGGCAGGCTGGTCCCATCTTGGTGGTCGCAGATCTGCCTTTTGTAGATCAGAAACTGAAGCATCTAAGGCCTCATTAAAAATAATAAAGTAATAAATTATTGACTTAAATTATTTTAATAAATTAATTGTTGGGTGATTACATTAAACGAGTAACCTGTTAATTAAACGTTTTAAGGAACAAACACACGTGTGAGGGAGCAGTCTTTTCCTCTCTCCTTGGCATCACCTTCGCCGTGTTTGCCCGTTTCTCTGTCACTCAGCATCTGTTCTTCCCTGAGGCTTTGCGGGGACCGGGGAGGCTCAACTCAGGCTAATTTTTCCACCTGCCAGCGTCTCTGCGCGAAGCTGACAGGGAGAGGAAGGCACAGCGATCGCCTCGGGTCAAGGTTAGGGATGTTTTAAGGACTAGATGACCTATAGGGAGGCAAGACCTGGCCTCTAAGAGGAAATGAACTGCTTTTGGGGTTAAATGCCTAATGAGTTCTCTGTCTCTCCAGTTTTTACAGGGTAAACGAGGTGCAGCGATTTGAATATTCTAGGCCGATCCGCAAGGGAGAGAAAAACCCAGACAATGAATTTGCGGTAAGAAACAAAAACAAAAAAATCCAGCCTCCCCTAAAGCTCATTCCACCCCAACAAAACTGCCCGTGGAACCCTGTGGCCTCGGAGGCCACCGCAGCGCAGCGTTCAGTGGCTTTGCGCGTCACGTGCAGACACCCTGACATAGCGCCCCTTCAAATTTAGCAGAACGATGGCTCTCACCACATCGCCAGTCCTCACGACGCTGTAACAGGTGACGGCGCTGCAGAGGCCTTTCTGAGTTCACAGCACACGCGTGCTTCCTCCTGGGCGCGTCGGAGTTGGTTTCCATCTGGCCCCAGGTCCTGGCGCAGGTGCCAGTGCCGGTGCCAGTTAGAAACGGCGCACAGAGGTGCCGGGCGCTTCACGTGGCTTTCTGCAGGTGACGAGCCGTCAGGAGGGCGGCTGGGCCTGAATTCACGGAGGCACCAAGCAGGGTTTCCACCTTCACGACTGAGTAACGNGGTGACCAGCCGTCAGGAGGGCGGCTGGGCCTGAATTCACGGAGGCACCAAGCAGGGTTTCCACCTTCACTACTGAGTAACGGGCCAGGAAATTCTCCGTGGGGGGGTGGGCATCGCAGGATGTCAGGCAGTGCCCCTGACCTCCCCCCACTCAATGCCGGTAGCACTTCCCCCATTGTGACAACTAATCAAAAGTGCTGCCACACACCGAGAGGTGTCTGTCCCCTGCTGGAAGCCGCTGTGTTCGAGTCATTAAAATATTAACACAGATCCTTGTGCCTTTTAAAAATAGACATGCAACTGGTTGAATGGATTCCATTCTGCAAAGGCCTGAAATAAAGCAGGGGTTTGTTTTTTAATGTTAACATTTCTCCTCCTGCCCCGAAAACCTCCTCTGAAAGTCCTAGGTAGGCACAAATTTCAAGGAGGATTGGCCGTGGGGCCCCTGAGGACACCAGTGTTGCTTGGGAAAGGTTGCCTCTTACCTGCAGGCTGGAGGCGCCTGGGGGTGCAGGAGGTCAAAGGTGAATCAGCACCTCTCTGCTGACCCACCTGAAGCTGGGAGCACTTCCAGCAGACTTGACTCCACCACCGCCCTTGGAAGCCTTGAGTGTCCTCTCATGTTCCCATCTCAGGGCGAGGCCTGCGCGTCTGCGGGCCCAGCTCTCAGGGCCCATCCTGCCCAACCCAGGCACCTTGTGCATTAACAGGGAGCTTGGGGCCAGTGAATTCTGAAGTCGTCCCCAATTCCAGCACCGCTTAGTTCCAACTAAGACCCTGTTTCAAGACCCTGTTTCTTGGACCTGTTTGGTGACTGTGGCGTTGTCTGTGGTAGTGACATAGGCTCAGCCCCACCTGGACAGCGGCCCGGAGGGCGGTGGTTTTTGAGCAGTCCCTGCCTGCCCGGTCATTCTGGCATTAATGCCATTATTTATAGAGTCTCTCCCATCTGCAGATTAACAGACAGTTCTTGAATTCCCCTCATGCCTCCCCATCTGGAGCTCTGTATTTCTGTGCTGTAGAGAGAGACGCTGGGAGGTCACGCACCACCCACTGGGGCAGAGCCGAGAATAACCCCGATCCCTGTGTTTGGAGCTGCGTAAGCCTCCAAGGCTATGATTTTTCTAAACAGCCCTGAAATCCCCGAGTGGCCCCGCCCGGCCCCGGCGCAGAGCCGAGGCTGCCTGAGCCGCGGGATGTATCCTTCAGGCGCCCGACAAAGCCTCAGGCTCCCAGATGAGCTCAGGGCTCTTGCAGTGATGGGAAGCCAGGCTCAGGCTGCGGGGAGCCGGGCTCACAGGCGGGCACCGAGAGCTCTCTCCTGCCAGGCCCAGGGCTCCGGGGGGCAGCTCAGCCATCATCCACGCCTCCTCACAGCAAGGGGGGGAGGCCTGGGATCCTAGGGCCACCAAGGGGGAGGAGGGGGACTGGTCTGAGTTAGCCAGAGCTGGCCCTAAGCGGCCGTGCAACCCAGAGGCCCCTCCCAGGGTGCGTGGGCCTTGGGAAAAGGACTTTGGGTGTGGCTGGGTCTGCGGGAGCTGCCTCATGGTGGCAAGGAGCATCGGCCCTGAGACGGGAGGCCTTGGCCTGTGGCCTGTGGCCCAGAGGCTTTAGCCAGGTCCTTCCTCCCTCCTCCTCTGCAATCTAAGAGGCTTGGGAATCAGTGTTGAGATCAGTCCGGTTTCCTGGAATCGTGGATGTTCCGTTGTGCCCTGTGTTTGTCTCAGGGTCACTTTACAGACTCAGCCCCTGAGCAGTGAGCATCGTCACGGGAAGGTTACAGCGCAGGAGGTGGGGTGAAGGTTTACCCCGAGACAGCCCGTGCCACCTAAGAGATGTGTTGACGTATATTTTATTGGCTTGAAACAATCTCCTGCAATATATAATGCACCATGTTACAAAAAAATACGGATTATAAAGTGGTATTTTTATTGAAACTATACGCACTTTTTAATGCTTAGTAAGAAATCTTGAACAGTAGGTCTTAAAATGTTTAAGGACCGTGTCTGAGTGATTTTCCCCCTTCTATTTCCGTATCTTTATTTTATAATGAAACATATACTAGTTATGTAGAAAATTAAAGCTTGAAACACAGATTTTGTTATGATGTGAGCGGTCACTTTAATAGAGCTCAGGTTTCCCCAACACATGCGCCTTTGGGTTCCTCTTAACGGCTAAGCAAGGCTAAGGCCTCACTCCCGGCAGCCTTTCCAGAAACCTGTTTGCTTAGAGGGCACCTCCCTCATTTTCATGCATCTAATTCTCCCCGACTCTCAGGTTATATTTTCTTTGCCAAATAGCAGGGAGGTGGGCGCCGTTGGCCAGGAAGGCAGGGGACACTGATGTGCCCGTATGGTCAACATCAAGCAGAGCATGGCTGGCAAGGTGCTCCTGAGTGCAGACTTGCCCCCCCGGGAACACGGAAGGGCTGAGTGTCACCTCTCCCGGGGGAACCCTGTTCTGGGGGGCTGGCCTGGCAGAGGGTCACGAATCCCATTAGGGCAGAAGCCACCTACCTGCTGACATGTCCTAACAAGGGCTCTGTTCTCTTTGCAGAACATGTGGATCGAGAGAACCATCTACACAACCGCCTATAAGTTACCTGGAATTTTACGGTGGTTTGAGGTCAAATCTGTTTTCATGGTAAGGACACCCCGAAAGGAACTGTCCCTGATCCTCCCTCATGCCTCTGACACACCCTCTTCACCCCCGGGTACCGTGTGGTCACTGTGGCCCAGTGCACACTGCGGACCCCAGATCAGACCGGACTGAGCCCGACCTCACCCCATGTGTTCCCTGGAGCCTCAGGTCTCCTTGGCCCCGAGTATCTAGTGAGATGCTGTGTGATCACAGCCAGTCCAGCTTCTGCGGAAACCGGGACTGAGATTACAGCCCTTCTCACTAGATACCAAGGGCCGTCATCCCTGCTGCTGCGACTGCTCCTCCAAGTTAACTAAACAGAAAGTGGGGGACCAGGTCCCTTTGCATAGTTTTTCTGAGCCGCTTTCTGATGGTTTCATCCATTTACGTGACAAACAACTTAATTAATACCACTTGCTTGTTTCAAGAAAAGATAGCTTGAGATACCCTCCCAGCACTTTTTAAAGAAATGGAGACCGCGTCTCATTAGCTACACCCTGCTTTGCCTCAGGTGGGCTGTGGGACAGTTTCCATAGTGGGCCCGAGGGCGCAGCAGGTGCTCAGTGCGGTGATTGCCAGCACGGCAGATCCCACTGAAAGATGTACGTTTTATTAGTGTGTCCAGGCCTGTTGTGCCCTGGCAGGGTCTCACCTGGACCACAGGGGAACTTCTCTCCCCAGCCCTGTTTCCACTCTAGGCCTTTATCTTTACAGATCTGAGCCCCAGGCCGCCCCCAGAGCATGTCCTCCTCCTGCTCTGAAGCCCCAGGGCCTTGGGCCTGCCCCCACCTCGGGCCCTTTCACTTTCTGTCCTGGAGGCTCCTGCTGTGGGCCCTGGCAGGCCCTGGCGTGGGGACCTGGCGTGGGGACGGCTCGGGAGATAAGTGGCAGAATACAGGCCTCTCGAGCACCATTGTGTGAGAGGGGGCAGAAGAGGTGGCCTTTCACATCAGCAGGCGCTAAGCCTCTTAATGAGCCTCTTCCCATAAGCCCTTGTAATCGGGGATTCTGAGGGCTGGCCAGGATGCCCGGGGAAGGAGCTTAGCTGGAGGGGGAGGTGGGGGAGCCTGGCCTTTTGTGAGGATGTGGTTCTGCCACTGGTAATCCCAGAATGATGTAACCCAAAGCCCATCCCCTCCCCTCCCGTCTGCCTCCTGGAGCAGCCCACCACGGCGCATCCGTGGGCACAGTAGCCAACGGTGTTGGTTTGATAAAATAGGAAACTATTGTTTCTTGCGTCAAGTGGGGCAGAGGGGCAGGGGACCGAGGAAGGGAAGCTGAGGGGGACATATGGGTGGTTCTCTGAGCACGTGAGGACCACATCTGTGGACACAATGATACTGAAATTCCCAGCTGCCCTCCTTTGGATAATCAGGGATCATGCCCCCAAAAATCCATTGGGAAGAAAGGTACACGGGGAGTAGGAAGCCTGTCCCTGCTCGGAAATGCTTCTCCTCTGGCGGAGCCCCGTGAGCCGGAGCCTCAGCTGGGGACCTCGTGCGTCTTCCCCTCCCTGCAGGTGGAGATCAGCCCCCTGGAGAATGCCATCGAGACCATGCAGCTGACCAACGACAAGCTGAACAGCATGGTGCAGCAGCACCTGGAGGACCCCAGCCTCCCCATCAACCCCCTCTCCATGCTCCTCAACGGCATCGTGGACCCGGCCGTCATGGGCGGCTTCGCAAATTACGAAAAGGCAGGTGACACACCGGCTCTCCCTTCACAGCCCTGCCCTGGGACAGACCCTCTCCAGACTCCGTCTCTAAGCCCAGAAACTGCCCTGGTCTCAGCGAGCGACCTCAGCGGCGATGAGCCACGGCCAGGCCAGGGGCAACCTGGGCAGCCCCTGCAAACTGTGGACAGGCAAGGGCCCACCCCGGGCATGCCCGGCCTGGGCATTGCCCACCTAGGTTGGCTCTGAAGCGTGACCCTTAACCCGGGACCGTCAAGGCCACAAGATACAGTTTGTCGGGCTGGCACGTGGAGAGGGCCAGCTGGCCCCCCTGGGAGTCTCTCGATGGGAACGGGCAGGGTTGAAGGATGCCGTGTGGCCTGGACCAGGCGTCTCCGCGACGGCCCGCCGCCTGTCCTTGTGAATCCAGGTGGGGCGCGGCCACGGCCCTTCCTTACTTCCTGCCTGTGGCTGTTCTGATACAACAGTGGAGCTGAGGCCCCGTCTGGACAAGTTTGCTGACCCCTGGTCTAGACAAAGTAAAACGGAAGCAGAGGGTCACTGCCCAGGAGTGGTCACCACTGATGGTTCATTGTCCTGGACAAAGAGGTGGTGCTCTGTAGGAGCCACCTTTAGGTGTGGTGTAGACCCAGGCAGGGCACAGGGTGGGGTGACGGGCATGTGAGCCTCTAGGGAGTTGCCACCCAGCAGACTGAGCCTCCAGGTCAGCTGTGGCTTTGCTGGGGACCAGGCCTGGGGTGCCACCCTGAATGCCCCTCCTGGCTGTCCATTCCCTCCGACTGACCTGACCAGATTCTTTGCCCTGGGTGAGATCCCTGGCAGCAGGGGTGTGGGCTGTTTTACCCACAGCTCTGTTCCCAGGGTCTGGCGCACAGAAGGTGTGCAGAAACACGTGTTGGGTGGGCGGGGGACTGAGTGGCTCTCCCTGTCCCCTCCAGGCCTTCTTCACGGAACGGTACCTGCAGGAGCACCCAGAGGCCCATGAGAAGATCGAGAAGCTCAAAGACCTGATCGCCTGGCAGGTAAGTGTCCGCACGCAGCCTCACGGGGCGTGGGTCCTCATATGTGTTTTCCCAGCTGCAATACGGAATACTATTTTGCTTTCCTACTCATGTTCCTGAGACCCTCAGAGGGACGTGGTCTTAAAAGGGTGGGTGACTCCGGAGAGCACCTTGTGTTTGGTAGAAGTTACCTGGTTCAACATCTGTGCATCTTGGAGCCTCCGGGAGCTGGGTGGTGGAGGGGGCGTCAGACCTGGTTCGCATCGGGGCTCTGCCGACTTGCTCTGCCCGCTTTGGGCAACCCACCTCTTCCAGTCTTCTCACCTGGGGGTGAGCAGGGTGCTGTCTGACATAACCACACCTGGCTGAGTACAGAGCTCAGGGAGGGGAGGCCAGGTCTCCTTGCACCCGTGGGATGTGGCACCCCAGGCCACCTGCTAAGCCGGGCTCCCAGGCTGACAGTTGGCCCCTGACACGACCGGCTCTTCCTAAGGAGGTGTCTCTGTGGACCCCTCCATCCTGGCCACCCTGAGCCTCACCTGTGTGCCTTCCTCTCCACCTTCAGCACAGTAGCTAGTGTGGCCTCCTAGGGTGGAATGAGCTAGGCTTTGGTTTCAAACCAAGTTACAAGTACTTATTTCATATTTTATTGTGGTAAAATTTACATAACATAAAATTCATCATTTTAAGCATTTTTAAGAGCACAGTTCAGAGGCATTAAGCACATTCACACTGTCCTGCAGCCGTCACCACCACCATCTCCAGGACTTTCCTTCTTGCAAAACTGAAGCTCTGTCCCCATGACACAGCTCTCCAGGCTTCTTGCCCCTGGCACCACGCTTCTGCTTTCTGTCCCTATGAATTCCCCTACTCGAGGAGCCCCTTATAAGTGGAATTCTACAGTATTTGTCCTTTTGTACTGGCTTATTTCACTTAGAATTATGTCTTCAAGGTTCATCTACATTGCAATGTGTCAGAATTTCTTTCCTTTTTCAAGGCTTAATAGTATTCCGTTGTGTGTATGAACCACATTTTATTTATCCATTCATTCACCGTAGGACATTGGGTTGGTCCTACCTTTTGGCTACTGTAAATAACGCTGCTGTGATCACGGTGTGCAGATACCTGCTCAAGTCCCTGCTTCCACTTCCTCTGGGTATAGTATACCCAGAAGTGGGATGCTGGGCGATACGCTGATTCTCTCTTTCATTGTTTGAGGAACCACGAAACTGTTTGCCACAGCAGCTGCTCCATTTTATAATCCCACCAGCAGCAATTCACCAGGGTTCCAGTTTCTCCATGTCTTTGCCAGCACTTGTTACTTTCCGATTTTGTTTTGTGTGTGTGTTTTGTAATAACCATCCTAACGGGTGTGACTTAACCACAGATCCGTATGCATTTGACATCTGTTTGGCCTGAAATTATTCTGTGATAAGAAACATTGGGGGCTGACTCCACAGGACCTCATTGGCCAAATTGCCTGGAATGGAAGCCTCATGCAGGTGGTCACCCTGTTACCAAAAAGCAGGGAGAGAGTTTAAAGTGCCTGAATGATTCCAATTTAGATGTCGGAACCAAAGTGTACAAAATTCGAAACTCGTGGAGGCCATAAAGCCATTGCTACACAAAAACTAGTTTGGTCTGCAAAAGCCCTATTGATTTTTCTTTTTTCTGTAAGCTTTTACAGCAAATTGGATTTTAAGAGTTTCAAGTCCTACAGAGGAAAATAATTTGTTCCCCAGGGAAGACTTTGTGTCAGCACTATGTCATCGCCCCTAATAACTTTATTAAAGATGGATTTTAAAGCAGCTCGCAGGAGAGTCGAAAGGAAGCATCTGTTTCCCAGCAGCTTCATTAAATCAAAAGTGCTGAAAATAATATTCAAACATTACTTGAGATTTTGCTTTTATTTGCAAATGTTTGGAAAAGCCGTGTTTCCGTGACCCTAATTGAGTCATGCAGTCATTAAAAATAGGAAGGTTGGGGTTATCAGAATGCTGCCTTCTGTTTTTGTTTGTCGGTTTGTTTGGTTTGGGTTTTTCCTGAGATGCCATGTGGGTGGAGCAGGGTTTGGGCCTTGGGAATCCCCGGGACTCGCTGGTGGTTCCCCCCCTTGATGTGCAGTAAGCACGTCTCGGTTCCTGAAATCGCTTGCGAAGGCTGGTTAGTAAGGGCCAGGCAGCTCCCGCTCTGCTGTGCCAGGGCTGAGGCAGGACGGTGCTGACCTGCACCCCCCTCGTGGCCTGGAGTCAGGCGCAGGCTGCATGGGCCTCTTGTGGATTTACAGCTGTCCCCATGGTCACGAGTGAGACCAGCCCCTTCCTCAGAGGCACAGCTCAGCTGGGTCACTCCCCAAAGCAGCCGTCAGGTTGAGCATCCCTGCCGAGTGTCCAAGATGAATGCACACAGACTCACGTCAACCCGCTGGGACGGGCACGTGTCTCTTTTTGAAATGAAAGACCAGACTCGCTCATTTCCCCGGCTGGTGTCAGGCAGGACCTTTGTGGCCAGGGGTGGTGCTCCCGGAGCAATGAGCGGCGCTTCCAGATGCTCGGTGCTGCTGGCAGGCCAGGCATCTGCAGGGGACACACAGGAGCAACCTTCAAGGACAGTGCTGCCATGTGGAAGGGCATCTTTTGAGAGCAGGCTTCATGCTCGGTTTAAACAACTCGAGCTGTGCCTCTCCCCCCTTCTGGGCTCGGGGAAACTGTAGAAGTCCGGAAGCCCGGGCTCCATCCTAGAGGAAATTGGGGCTCGGGTGGGGCTCAGCGTCTGCCCCGAGGGCTTGATGCTCAGCCGGGGCGGAACCCCCTGCACTGCAGGGTCTCTGCGCGCCCTCAGCCTCGCTGCATGGCTTCTTCGTATGTTAGGCACCTGCTGCGTTGGAAAGGATGTTTTTTCGTGGCTGCACCTCAACCCCAGGCAGACACGGCAGGGCCAGACCCCACCCAGGAAGAAGGTTCTGCCTGACCAATGTCAGGGGCCTCTCATGGCCGGCAACTGTCACCTGCTGAAGTGCAGGTCACGCAGTACCAGTGACCTAAACCCATGATCTGCACTTTAGTCCAGCAGGTCGCTTCTTTGGTGTCAGGTATCTGCCCAATTCAGAGTTTCATCAAACCGACAAAAGGCACCAAAATGATTAGATTGCGTTTCGCACATTTTTGAAAGCGCCCTTCCCATCAGAGTGCCCTCGGTATCAAGGGTGGCTGTGGCCCGACCTTCAGGCAGCACCCCCATGCTTGCCTTCCACCCAGACAGACGTGCCCCGCCTGCCTCGGCCGCCCCCACGCGGGACTCGGGAAGCAGAAGGGTTTCCGTGGGCGTCTCCACGGCTGGCCCCGGGGAAGCTGCCATCCACAGGGTGACTCGCGCAGATATGAAAACGTCCCGGCCACTTCACGGTCTCCCCTGCGCACTGTCCCTTTGGCAATAACTGGCGGGAAGTGGATGCCTGGCTCGTACCTGGGTACAGGCCCAGCTGTCAGCAAAACGAACTGTGTGGGTGCAGCCGGAGAGCAGGCCTGGGGAGCGCGCTCCCGCCCCCCCGGAGCACCCCTCGAGGCCACACCTGCCTGCTCTCGACAGCAACCAAATGCAGGCCGTGCCGTGATTCATCTCGACAAGATGTCTTGGATTTGTTCACGTGCAATTCAGTTGTGTGCTTATTACCCTTCTTATAAATCTGCTCGTTGCGGCTGCTGTTCCGTTATATTAGGAAAATCTGTTTCTAATCAGTGCGTTGATTTAATTATCAGTTATTAAGAGGAAGCCTCTTAGCTTGATTGCACTGAGGAGTGTCGAGCTCTCTGTCCGAGTGGGAGGGTGGGGTGGGAGCAGAGCTGGGGAAGGAGGCGGGAGCGCTTCCTGCACCCACCCCCGACAGCAGGGACTCGAGGGTCCCGGTGCTGGGGAATGAAGTGTTTCTCGGTGATGCTTTTAAAGGTCAGCTGCGTCTCCACGCTCGAGCGGGAAGTGTTGGCGTGGAGATTGGGTGACAGCAGTGTCAGCAGAGAGAGATTATTTTTAGTTTTAAGTGAGAATAAATTTGGTCTTCCTTTCCAAAGGAGACTATCCTTCAGGACCACAGATCACAAAGAAATAGGTTTTCACGTTTTGGAGCAGGGCTCTCAATTGCCTATAAAGCCCATATTCTTAGCTAAAAAATAAAACCTTTGCACTGTGACCTGACCCGTGGCTAACAGATCCAGTTACATCTCAACAAATTCAAAACTCGGCTCTCCTCCCAAACTCAGGTGGACGGACAAAGCTTCAGGCAAAGTCCTGGAGGGGCCGTGGGGTGGTGAGCACTGCCCCAGACCTGTCCAATGTATTTATTTTTATTTAGTTTTAATTTTCACCCAAGGACATTGTTTCCAGTGCTTTTCAGAAAGTGGAGAGCGGAAGGGAGAGAGAGAGAAACATCGATGTGAGAGAGACGCACCGATTGGTTGCCTCCTGTACTTGCCCCAACCCGGCCAGGAATCAAGCCTGCAACTGAGGTGCGTGCCCTTGGCCGGAACTGAATCGGACCCGGGACCCTTCAGTCCGAGGGCCGACGCTCTAACCACTGAGCCAAACCAGACGGGGCAAGACGTGTCCAATTTAAAACGCGAATGTTAATGTAAACATTTTGGTCTTTGGGGGCAACAAGCCCGCTGATGAGTTTCATCCGCCAACCCAGCGTGGGCACAAAAGTGGAGTCACAGCCACAGTGCCCCCCTCAGCCCAGCGCGCCCCCCTCTCCCTGGACCATGACTCGGGAAATGAGGACCGTCCGCCTCTTTGTTTTTCAGATTCCGTTTCTGGCCGAAGGGATCCGGATTCACGGGGAGAAGATCACAGAAGCGCTGAGGCCCTTTCACGAGAGAATGGAGGCCTGTTTCAAGCAGCTGCGTGAGAAAGTGGAGAAGCAATACGGCGTGCGGGCCATGGTGCGTGGGCCCGGCGCGGGGGGCACCGTGTCCAGCAGTGACAGGCTCCCGGGCGGAGTGACTAAGACGTGTGCAGGTGCCTGCTTAGGAAGTAGGGGTGTCGGGGACCTCAGTCCCCTTCATCCAGCAAACCAGCCCCCTCCTTTCAATAGCTGGAAATGTCAGGGGCGAGTAAACGTCCACCAATTGGCTTCATCGCCGACCACCCTAGTGCGGTGGAGCAACAGAGAAACCTCACACGGCACATACGAAGAATTAACGAGTGACACACAGGGCAACGGCCATCACCGTGTCCCAAAGCAGAGGGGAGCCTGTGCCCAGCCCAAGGTCAAAGTCACTGAGGGGGAGGAGTGATGGATTACTGAGGTCTGAGATTGTCAGCGAGGACTTACCTACTGGAGGAAGGGGTCACTGCTTAGCCCAGCAGGGTGAGTTGGGATGGTCAGGAGGCGGGAAGATGCTGCCTGGGGAGAGGACTCACTCAGCAAAGGCCGGGAGGCAGGATGAGTGTCCGGCCAGAGGGCCGAGCAGACGCAGACGCACCTTCCTTGGGCAGGGAGAAGTGGGCGGGAGTTGGAAGGAGCCAACAGCCTAGGACGCCCATCTGGGGCAGGAGGCTCCGCTCCAGGGAGAAGGGCAGAACTGGGCTTCTGCTAAGAGTTTGTGGAAGGTTTCTGAGCAGGGGCTGTGGTCAGGAGCCACATAGCAGAGCACCTTGGGACTTTTAATGATGCGGAACCTGGTGGTTTTAAGCCTGATCTCAGGCTTGGAACAGCCTTTGGATACTGGGCCTCAGTGGCTCGGGGGCGGGCCCAGATCATTCCTCCAAGCACCACTGTGGCTTCGGTTCCAAGCAGTGCCCTCTGATTTCTTCAGCCACGGGCACCCTCAGGCTTGCTGGGCCCTCCCTCGCCTTCGTTTTTCCAGTCCTGGGGGCTGTAAGGAGCCGCCGTGCCCTGGATGAAAGTGCAGGAGCCTGGCCCCTGATGCTGAGGGAGTGAGGAGCCAAGGGGAGCTTGTGCTTCAGGCTGTAGTAACAACACAACAAGGACAAGGGCAGCTGCCAAGTCCCACCGGCTTCACCCGCATCCTTCATGTCATCCTCACGGCCTCTCACGGTCGGACAATTATTCCCTGCGTGCTCGGGAGGAAGCGAGCTCAGCGTGAGTCTGTATTTTATGCGGAGTCACAGCCTTGTTAGAGCCAGAACTCTAGCCCTGTTCTAAGGCACACCTGTCAGGGCTGGGGGAGACCTGCTGCTTCAGATGAAAAAATAAAGTCCTGATCCTCAATTTCTAAAGGCACAAAACAGGCTCCCAGGGCTCAGCCAGCAGGCTGGGTCAGAGGACACTTCACAGAGTCAGCCTCGGATTGTTTCTGAAAGTCCACAAGAGCGTATTGCAGACTCTGAGTCTCTAGGTTCTGTGTGAGGAGCATTTTCACAATTTGGACGAGTCTGCAAATAACCGTTTGCTATTCAGTTTACACATAAAGGCCAGTTAATGACAACGGGCATCTCTGGGGATTTATGGAACGTCACCATCGTGGGTGCTAAACCCAAGCCGAGGCCGACCCGCCCTGCTGCCGGAGCCCAGTGGCATATTGCTCTGAACCAGTGGCCAGCAGACTGTGGCCGCCACCTGGCTTTGTAAATAAAGTTTTATTGGCAAGCAGTCGTGATCACTTATTTCCGTGTTGTCTGTGGCTGTTTCCATGCTACAGCAGCGGAGCTGAGCAGAGCCAAAAATACCCGTGACCTGGCCCTCTGCAGAAAGCCTAACCTGCCCCTGCTCTTTTCCCATCAAAGGGACAGTGCGCAGGTCAAACTATTCAGTGTGCAAAGTGCACGTTTAAGAAGCAGGCCCACTTTCCAGATGTGGAAGCGGTGGTTACGCAGCCTGTAATCAGCCAGGGTCCCCAGCAGGTCGGCGTGGGGTTGGGGCAGAGCCACACCGAGAGGAAGTGCCCTCCAGGGGTGGGAATTTCACAGCCTCAGGCAAAAGAAAGGAGCTTCTGCAGCAGCTTCAGCCCCAGATGTGCCAACATCTGGCTCAGGTGCAGGTACAATAGCGTTTCCTTGCTAATTAGAGGTTGACACATGGAGTATTTCAGATACACATTTTTTGGTAACAATATATCCAAGAGAGGGCGGGAAACTCCGCCCAGACCCACTCTTCTTGAGAATGAAATGCGTCACTAGTCCGCCACCTGGCGGGGAGGAGCTCGAGCAGCTGCAGCTGTGGCTTCCCCGAGTCCACTGTCCCCAGCACCGCAGGGGAGGAAGCCACCCCTAATTGAGAGCAGGGGCATCGCATTTAGTCGACAGAAGTTCAGTCCTGTCATGTCCATGATCTGCATGGTTTGTCAACATGCAGTTGTATATCTCACGATCTTGCAGATTCTTTAATCTCATTCTAGATGTTATTCTAAAAATTGAAAAATTGAGTTTTCTCGTCAGTGCTTCCTGCTATGACTTTACAAGAGGCTGATGGATTGTGGTCTTGGTTAAAAAAAAAAAAAAAAAAATTATATATATAAAATTTTATAAAACCAAATCATCATCATTTTCATCTTTGACTCCAAACAGGAACATGTACTGTCTGTAAAAGTGTTGACAATGTTGGTCTAGACTCCAGGCTGCTAAGACCACGTGGTCCCAAGAGCCTGGCCACGCCCAACCAGAAATCTTTTGGTGCAAACATCCAACCAGCCCCTCTCTGTCTGTCCCTCCCTCTCTCTCCCCTGCAGCCCTCCAGCCTGGACGACAGACGAGGCAGCCGTCCCCGGTCCATGGTGCGATCTTTCACGATGCCTTCTTCGTCCCGGCCTCTGTCGGTGGCCTCTGTCTCTTCCCTGTCCTCAGACAGCACCCCTTCCAGGCCAGGCTCTGATGGGTGAGTGGCAATCAGCAGTCAGGACAGAGCTCGGAGGGACCTGAGAGGAGCCACCCAGGGCCCTGGATTGGTTTTATCACAACTGAGAGGATTTTTTAAAAATCAAAACTGTCTTTGAAACTGAGACCCTCCGAGACTTTACAAACGTAGATCCCAGTAAGACTTTCAGGGTCTTGTGAGATTCTGAGAAAGAAGTTCTCACTTCGGGTACCACTTGGGGTAAGGTTTTCATAAAAAAAAAATATTTTTTTATAATTAACCCACACCTGAGGATATTTTTTCCATTAACTTTTTTTAGAGAGAGTGGAAGGAAGGGAGAGAGGGAAACATTGATGTGAGAGAGACACATCAATTGATTGCCTCCCATGTGCACCCCAATTGGGGCCAGGGATCGAACCCACGACCCTTTGGTGCCTGGGCCGACGCTCTAACCACTGAGCCACACCGGCCAGGGCAAAGGTTTCCATCCAGTTGTAACACCTCCCGTGAGTGTTTGGTCCTGCTCAGCGTGTCCAGGAAGACACGTGGTGCGTCCCCTGCCAGCTGTGCGTGGACTCCCCACCTCTGGCTCACTTCCAGGTGTCGCACCAGGACGGTACTGTCACAGGCCATCAGGCTTCCTTGAGGACCGTCTCATCCAAGAGACCCCTCTGCAGAGCCGCTTTTGCTCTTGAGCCCCAGGAAAACAAAGCCCCCAAGAAGGGACAAAAACCTAACAGGCCGGTCAGCATTCGGGCCCTCACTGGGTCTCTCGCGTTAACTCGGAGTGTTGTTCAGAGAGCCTCTGTGTTGATATATTTTGTGCTTTTGAGTGGCGAATGTGTAGAGTTTGTTCTTATACAAACAGAGAAAAATGTTGCATGCAATTTAAACGTCAGAGAAGAGCTTCCCATGGCTTTATCGTCGAGTGTGCCCAGTCCTGTGCCTGTCCAGCCCCATTTGGTTGACTCTGTCACCCTATCGACCCACAGGCCCCGGCCCCGGCCCCTGCCACACGCAGACACAAACTTTCACATCGCCTGAGGGCCGCTCAACTCCGAGCGCCCTTTCTTGCCTGCGAAGGATGTGCCCAATGGAGAACTGAAAACTACACCCACATTTTTTCCCTAACAGTAATTTTTACCCGTGTCTGCTATTTATAAGGCCAAGTCCATATGGAAATCCTCCATTCAGAGGTATTTAAATCATGTGTGCTTGTCACTTGGAACAAGATTGCTGAAGAAATTGAATTCAGCTTCTCCCCCAGAAATCCTTAGCTAGTTATGAGAAGGTTTTATGTTTCCAAGAGCACGGCGATGGGGGTGGAAATTGCTTTGGAGGCTTCGGTTAGAAGTGCGCTGTGTTGCACGTGGGAATAGAGGAGCCCGAGCAGTCGTACCTTCTCCCTGGGGGCCTGGGCTGAACCTTGAGCTAGAGGCGTCTTGCATGGAGTCCAGATTTTTGTTCCTTCTTGGGGTTTCCTCCCTTAGTTGTGTAACTAAGCGGAGTTAATTAGGCTCTGGTCTCAAACGGCACAGGCTACCTGCAGGATAAAGTATATCCTGCCAGCAGTGGCTTCCGGCAGGTAAAAAATTTAAAACTGAACCTGTCTTTCTGTGGGTTCTTTCTGCGCATCTGTGACCCAGCACCCGTCTTCCTCGGAGCTGGCAACGTCCACTAATTCTTTTTTCCTACCTTAGTTGTCTCACGTTCTGCAAAACCTGGAAGAAAATAATTAAATTTTGATTATTGCTTATACTATATTAGACATACTATCTAACTCATAATGAATATGGATTGGCTGGTTACTGTGTATCCAGGGGAAAAACCTTGAAGTTTTTATTATGGAAAAGTTTCAGTGATATNTACTATCTAACTCATAATGAATGTGGATTGGCTGGTTACTGTGTATCCAGGGGAAAAACCTTGAAGTTTTTATTATGGAAAAGTTTCAGTGATATACAAAGTGAACAGACCTTTACAACGGGGCCCCAAGCCCATGAGTTAGTAATTATCCACCCGCAGCCAATCTCACTTCATTCAGTCTGTACCCCGCTCTCTCCCTCCCCCACATTATTTTGAAGCAAATNGACAGACCTTTACAACGGGGCCCCAAGCCCATGAGTTAGTAATTATCTACCCGCAGCCAATCTCACTTCAGTCTGTACCCCGCTCTCTCCCTCCCCCACATTATTTTGAAGCAAATCTCAAACTTCATGTCTTTTCACACATAAGTATTTCAATGTGAATCTCTAAAAGGTAAGGAGTTAAAAAAAAACAAAACACACCATTTATCACACATAAAAAATTAGCCGTGTAATTCATATTATCATCACATACTGGTGCTAATTTCTAATTGTGCTATAAATGTCATATTTTTTAATTTGTTTGCAATTGATCCAAATAAGAGTCTCACTTTGCAGTTGATTGATGTATCTTTTTAATTCTCTTTGAATCAATAGGTTTCTCCTTCCACCTTTTTTCTTTTTTTTGTCATTTATTTCTTGAAAAGTCTACGTTGCTTATCCCGTAGCCTAGATTTTGCTGGTTGTGTGCCCTGCGGTGTGATTAACGTGGGTCCCTGTCCCGCATGTTCCCAGCAGATGGGTAGTTACACCTAGAGGCTCGATCAGGTCCAGGTTTGATTTGGGGACAGGACAGCTTCATAGGTTCTTCCACTCAGAGGGGCATCATGTCTCCCGGTGTCTAGTTCAGTGATGTTGATAATGGACACCCACGTTCAGTACCACGGCCGTTTAAATGGCACATGACTTCCCGACAAATCCTGCTGCACCTCACTGGGGGAAAAAGTGGGAAAGTGGGAGACACGGCCCTTGCTTTTGGCAGTCTCGATCCTCAGGGCATTTGCAGTGTGGTTTTGCAAACGACCCATCTAAAGGTGGCTTTCCATGTGACCTCACGACCCCGCTAAAGGTGGGTTTCCATGTGACCTAATGACCCCACTAAGGGTGGGTTTCCATGTGACCTAACGATCCCCTAAGAGTGGGTTTCCATGTGACCTGACGACCCCGCTAAGGGTGGGTTTCCATGTCGCCTCTCCCATACTGGAAAGGTCTCTGGAGCGGCCTCTCGTCAGAGCAGTGGGTTGGTTCCAAGCGCTCTGTTCACAAATAAGGTTACCAGAAGCCTGGGCGGGGTGAGGTGTGACGGCCTCTCCAGGTTTCCTTGCCTTGCGGTCGGCCTCCCCTGGAGGAGGCCAGCGCCTTCCCTGGTGGTCCAGGAGTCGGGCGGGCAGGTCACTGTGAGGCTGGGAGGTCTCCGGGCGGGCTCCGGCCGGCTCCCGGTACTGACGGCTCGAATGGGGGGGCCCGGGGTTTGCTTGCCACCAGGCTTGGGGCTGACTGCAGGGCACTGGGCGGGGAGCTCTGTGCATGCTCCTGGCTCCCTATTTTGTTTCTTTCAATCGTGTGGAAATGGTGTGTCGCCCACAGTGTACAAGACATTTATCAGAAATCACAATATGGGCTATTTCTCTTCTGTGACTGTATGACCATAACTCCTTTTAAGAGACCACATCTCTTGTGAAATACCATTTTCATGGGCTATGTTTTAAAAATATAAGATCCTAATAATAACAATACCTCACGTGTGAGTTAGCCTGCAAGGTTTTAGAGCCATTTTCATACTTTATGCACGTTGGCCCTGTACCCTGCCGCCTTCCTGCTGTGGGGAGTGAGATTCCAGTCCCATTGGACCCGGTTCTCCCCTCTCCTGATATGACTGACTGGGACAGAAACAGGATGCCCCCCCAGTCTTCATTAAAATAGGTCACAATTATGTGTAGACGTGTGTGTGTGTGCTTAGCTTTGACACGTGCCCTAGAAACTAGTCCAAGATCCATTTACTTGGTAGGTTGACCATTGACACGTTTTAACACCACCTCGTTGTTGATGTCACTAAGCAGAAAGGTGGTGGGGTCCTCCCTTCACCTTGTGACTGGGACACCCAGCCCACAGTTGAGACTTCCCAGCAAGTGGCAGGGCTAGAACCCGGGTCCTCCATCTGGTAGCGCAGCTCTGGGCTGAACACCTGAGGGCATCCCTGTAGCCGTGGGCTGGGCCGTCCGCCCCAGGACTTTCACACGGCCGCGACCTCATGTCTGCAGTCCTGAGCTACCTGCACGAACCGAGTGGGGGTCCCAATGCCAGAAGTGCCTTTGTATGAGCCCCCCCCCCCTTTGCACTGTGTCCCGGATAGTTCAGTACAAGTCTCAAGGTCAGGGCTCGCCTTTGAGATAGACCCACGGACCACCGCCCCTGCAGCCAACGGGCCCGCAGGAGAGTCCGGCTTCCCGTTCCCCTCCTCCTGCAGCCGTGGGTTTTCTCCGGTCTGGTGTTTCTGCGGTGCAGACGCCCCCCATCCGTTGAGTCGGTGAACCCGCACCTCACCCCAGCCCCCCTCCGCCTCCCTTTCCCGTGGCCGCTGCGGTCCCGGGCAGTGCGGGCCTCCCGTGAGCGCCTGCCGTGGCCGCGGGGTGCAGAGCCGCTGCCTGCGAACAGCCCGTGATGTAAACAGCCGCTTCCTCTAGGTTCGCCCTGGAGCCCCTCCTGCCCAAGAAGATGCACTCCAGGTCCCAGGACAAGCTGGACAAAGACGACTCGGAGAAGGAGAGGAAGGACAAGAGGAAGGAGAAGAGGAACAGCCGGCACCAGGAGACGTTTGACAAGGAATTGAAAGCCTCGGACACGGCCCCGCAGCAGAACGAGGCCGTGATCCTCTCGGAAACGGTACGTCCCGGGGGGCCCTCGGCTGCCCCCTGGAGTGTGCGGAGCTGGCTGTGAAATGGTCACGTGAAAATCCAGGTCTCCCTCCACCCTCCCCTCACATAACCCGAAGCTGCAGGGCACCCAGAGGGCACAGGGGCAATTACCCCTGGCCTCACACCGTCCACCCCGAGGGGTTCAAACAGGGAGGGCCCCCACATTCTCGGGCATCCTGATGTCTCCGAGGATGAGCAGGAATGCCGTGTTGTCAGAAAACAGTACCCCTGTGCCTGTCCCAGGCTCCGGGCCTGAGCCCGTGGTCCAGTCTGCTCAGCTGGAGCCCCGGAGCCCTTCCCTCGGCTCCGCTGGCCACACCAGGTCCCGTTACGCCACCAGCTTTCAGTTCGGAGGCGGCCCACCTCAGCCCGAGACACACCCTAACTCCGAGCTTTCTGTCCCTCCATGTAGATAAGTCCCCTGCGGCCCCAGAGGCCGAAGAGCCAGGTGATCAACGTCATCGGAAGTGAAAGGCGCTTCTCTGTGTCCCCATTGTCACCGACCTCCCAGCAGACGCCCCCTCCGGTCATGCCTCGGGCCAAGCTCAGCTTCAGCCTGCAGTCCAGTGAGTGGGACCTTCTCCGATTTGAACTCAGTGCTCCCGGTGCCTCCCTCCTTGGCCGAAACCCCTAAAGTTAGACCCCCTTCCTCCCCGGCAGCGCACCGAGTTTCCCTGAGCGCCCGACTTCCTGGCACTGCCCCCGGGGCCATCAGCACACCAGGCTGAAGCTCCTTCCCGGGCTGCCTGGTTCCCCGGGTTAAAGCTCGGGCCGCCCAGGCTCTGGGAACCTCCTGTGCACTGGGAGGGGGAGGGCGGGTGCCTCGTGGGTGGCGACTGTGTGTTCAGGGTGATAAGGAAGTTTTGGAAATAGTGGTAACGGCTGCACAGCTATACAAATGTGATCAATGCCACTGATTTGTACACTTAAAATGGTTAAAATGGCCCTGGCGGGTGCTGCTCAGTGGTTAGAGTGTCGGCCCGCACACCGAAGCGTCACGGTTTTGATTCCCGGTCAAGGGCACGAACCTCAGTTGCAGGTCTGACCCCCGGCCCTGGTCGGGGCTCGTGTGGGAGGAACCTGTCGATGTGTCTCTCTCACATCGATGTTTCTCTCTCTCTCCCTCCTCCCTCCCTTCCACTCTCTCTCAAAATCCATGGGGAGAAAAAATATGCTTAGGTGAGGATTTAAAAAAAAAAGAAAGTTAAAATGACAAATATTACGTTGTCTGTGTTCTGCTACAATTAAAGCAGCCAACCAGCCCATCCTGGGCAGCCCCTGAGTCAGAGGCCATCTCCCTTCTCCCTTCTTCAGCCGCAGGCTCCGTAGCCCCCGACGTGGCCCTTCTGAGGAAGCGTTTCCCTGATGAAGGATTTTTCCATCCAATGGGTCATCGGGAAAATGGTCACAGAGACCCGTCAGCAAATCTGTCAATTTTCATCTCTTTAACACAAAGGAAAACAGATTATTTCTCAGAGCCTCAACAAGGGCTGAGAATATGCCGTCTTAACAATCCCTTCTCCGTTTACAGTCGGCTACCTCTTTTGTTTACTTTACAAATCAACGGCATGTCCCTTGGCTTGTTGGCAGCCGCCACCGTGCCCACTACTGCTAACGACCTCCTTTCATACCCCCGGGGCTTTTCCCGTGGAGAGAGGTCTGGGCGGCGGCCGGTTGTGCCGCTGTTGTTAGACTTCGCGTAGGGATGCTCCCCAGGTAGTGCCTGTGGAGGCCTGGCACCTAGCCCTGGCTGGGCTTTGAAAAAGGCAGGTGACCCCCAGCTGCTTAAATGCTTTGGAGGTGACGGGACTGGGAGGGATCAGAAGGGTCCCGGGGTGCCGTGGCTGGTTTTACAGTGGATTCTAGCTCTGGTTGGGGTGCCTCCTTCCTGCCCGTCGGAGGGGATCGCGCCCTCTGCCTTGTCTGCCCCCCCTGCTCTCCTCTCTGCCCCGCTGACAGGCATTTCTTGGGATGAGCTGTTTCGGCCTCCCTGCTGCTCAGGAGAGACTGGGGAGCAGCCGCGTGTGCTCACACCCGGCGGGATGTGGGTTTGATTTTAAGTCTATCAGCTTTTCCAGGTTTGGAGCTGAACGGCATGACCGGGGTGGACGTGGCCGAGGTCCCGCCCCCCCTGCCTCTGAAAGGCAGCACGGCAGATTACGGGAACCTGATGGACAGCCAGGACCTGATGGGCTCCCCCCCGCCCCCGCCGCCCCCTCCTCACCACAGGGTAAGTCGGGAGCCTGAAACCTGCGTGTTTAATATCTTCGCCTCCACAGAATCGAACCCCTCCTTCCTGATGTCAGCGTGTTTACTTGGGTTTGATTTGGGGGGGAGGGGAGGCCACAGACAGTGATCACAGCCACGGCCTGTGCAATCCGTGGCCCTGTCATTATCGCTGCATGGAGACACGTCCAGATGTGGCCTTGGAGCAAGGACAGGGGTCGCAGGGCCAACCCCATGGCCACGGAGCTCATTCCACTTGCTGTGCCGTTCTTGTGAGAATTTGATTTTGAAAAGTAGCTTTTCTATGGAGCGGTTTGTCTTGCATTTTTAAGAGGCTGGCCTCTGTTAGGCTGCATGGGGACATGCTCCTGTTTGCCACCCTGGCCCCTGGGAAGCCCTTATCCCAGCCATGCCTCCAGGAGCATCACCCTCACACTGTCTACTCCGGGTGGGGACAGGCACTTGCCACTCAGAGAACCTGTAGGATTTGGCTCCCATTTGGGCAGAGCCCAGATCCCTGAGGCCACCCACCCTTGGCCATGCCTCTCCAGAACCCCTCCCCATTTAGATTCGGGGTATTGGCCACCACAAGCTGGAGCCCTTGTCGGCACTGGTTCCCTGAGGCCGGCACCCTCCCGAAACTATTTTAGTCATTAATCTGCTGGGAGGCTCTCACTGCGCAGTGGCCTCGGGGCCTGCCCACTGATGCAAATATTAGCCAAACGTCTCCCAAAGCTTTTTAAACCAGTGCTCTGTAACCTGTTGACAGCTCCAGACACAGCCTTGCGAGATCCGCCACGCTGCCCCCGGTTCTCCGGGCTGCCGTCAGGCGGGGCTCCCGGTGGCTCCACGGCGGGGTGCCGTGCAGGGCGCGGGGAAGGACACAGCCCGGAGCTCCCCGTGCAGGCTCCTCCCGATTCACTTAGATGAGCCCGTTGTGGAGGGGAAATACCCCGCTCATATCTGTGCATCTGCTCAGCCTCCGCACAGACCAGGCGACGGCAGACGAGCCGAGACGGCGCCTCCCCCCAGGGGTGCAGGGCAGCTCTCCCTCCCTGCCTTGTGCCAGGGCGGGCCCCGCCTGGAGGCCGCTGCTCTCCCACCGGAGCATCAGTAACGCGCCGTCTCCCTCGCATTCCTGTCTTCCAGCACCTGCCACCTCCACTGCCCAGCAAAACCCCACCTCCTCCCCCTCCCAAGACCACGCGCAAGCAGACGTCCGTGGACTCTGGGATTGTGCAGTGAGGACAAGCTTTCAGTGAGCCGCAAAGACCAAGCTGTCATCTCTCCCGCCCTGTCCCCTTCTGTGTCTGGCATTTACCTCATTGGACCTGTGATGTCTGACATTTAGGGCAACTGCTTTTCCCTAAAAGGAATTCGTTCCCAGCCTTGGAGTGCGTGGCCTTTAGTGTCGGGGAGCCCGGTGGATGCGGGTCTGGGACATCCTGGTGCGTTTATCAACGTCGGGGGCTTCCGAGCGTGTCCCTGAGAGAGCCTGAATCTTGCCCAGAGCCCTTTCTTTTTGTGCCAAATGACACACTAGCCAAGAGCGAGGTTGAGCTGAGCCGAAGGCAGCAGCAGGATGGTCCCCCCTGAGAACCAAGCGGTACCTGAGCGCCCCGAGCCCCACCTCAGCCAGACCCCGGCTTCCACGCGGGCATCTCATCAGACCCCCCGCGGCTCGTGGCGGGGCCTTGTGTTGGTTGAATGTATGTATCCGACATCACCCCTCCGGGAAGTTCCTGGTCTCCTTCGGGATCAATTAAAATAGGATATTCCTCAGCTACTGAACAGTTACTAATTTATGGAGTGGAAACACCGTTAAAAATACTGGATCAAGGGAAAAATAACTGCGTATAGGAAGATGAGTTTCCTTCTCTGTAAGTAAAGGATCCAGGAACCACGAGAGATGGTTTTACCTGGGTGGATTCTTCCGGTCCTCTGTACAGAAGTTTGTATATATGATGGTTCCTAGGCCTCGTGTTAATTTTCGTGGTCCTTCCATTTACTGTAATAGGTGTCCACACTGAGTCGCAAGTATGTGTTCTTCATTTTTAATGGCTGGAAATGTAAAAAATAAAAATCCAAATAAAGTTCTGTCGTCGTTGTTCTCAAAGCTCCAAAGTCCTGAAAATGTCAGCGAACGATGATTTTTGAAAAACTAACTTTGTATAACCTAATATTTGTATTCTGTCATCTATATTTTTTTATTCACTATAATCATGATACCCGTCTAATAGGCTCAAAAGTTAATCATTGACAAGGAAAAATAAAATTTATTTAAAAAGACTCACGGTGTCTGACATACGGTGTTTTTATCCCTGATGTAAAGCACAGATGCTCCTCTTTGCTTTCCTGAAGGGCTGTGTGACCCCCCTCAGACAGGTGCACCCCTTCCTCAATATGGGTCCCCTGGGCGCGCCTGCGCCTCACTTCTGCCTCCCCACTGCGGTGTGAGCGGGCTTTGTTTAGCAGGGTCTGTTTTATAACTTGAGGCCCGTCAGACTTGAGAGCTTTCTCTGGATCTTGGGTGGCAAGAAACAAGGCAATAGGGTCACCTTTTCCACGTGAAATGGGTTCCCCTGTGTCCCTTCCAAACAGACCCACCGAGAATAGGTTCACCGAGTGTCCGGCTAGAGAGTAGGCTTCACGGCTTCTGTGGATTCCCCACTCCTGGGAGTTTTCCGTGAGCCTCCACTTATTGCTTTTAAACCTGTGTGAACAGCTCCCACATGTAGAAAACGGTCCTTCAGCTGCCACCATGTGGATACGCGATGCTGTGGTGCTGTCTCGTCGGGTAGTTTTCTAAATCGCGTGTGTGTTTCAAAGTTGTCCTACTGTGTGCATGGCTTTCTACCCCACTCTTTCCACGTATATAAACTTCTGTGTCGTTAAATATTTTGGGTGCCAGGAAGCCCAAAGCTACACTTAGCTCTCGCACGGTCGGATTTCGGCTTTATTTTTCTGCCTTCCAGAACGCGTTATGATCTATTACAGATTCATCTCTATGTTAACTCTGCAGTTTCATGGGTACTTTCCTCGGGTTTTTATTAAAAGATGGTATAGAAGCCAGATTTTACCAGCAGAAACATCGTTTCCTTCTTTAAAAACCACCCTTGGTGCTTGAAAATTGCTTCCTAGTATTTAAAGAAATTATTTCTTAATCAATGTTAAGACTGTTCTTTTATGTAAAGATTCGATCTTTTTCATTAGCTTTGGCCCTGATTCTTTCTCCGTATTGGGCTTTGCTTTCATGTTGGCTGAGGCCTTTGTTGTGTAATGGGTTTTAGCTTTTGCTTTCTAGTTTTATCTCTAATTACTTTTTAGTAATTACTTGCTTTTTAAAGGCTGTTTGGGGACTTGTACCTTTCTTATTTTTCCAATCTGCCCTTTTCGAGTTATTTAAACATCTCTTTAGTCGGTGATGGCTTAGAAAAACGTAGCAGGGAACCTGCTGGGCCAGTACGTCTTTGCTTCCAATAAGCTAAAACCATTTCTCCCTGTGTGTCTGTCACCAGCACAATAAAGCAGGTGTCCTTCGGTCCTGTGACGACCTCAGTGCTGTGGCTGAAGATGAAACGGGAGAGCAGGGCCCGCATGAAGTGTGACCCCAGCAAGCTCAGTCCCGGCCCTGCAGCCGCCCGCTGCCCTGCGCGCCCCAGGGAGGAGGTGCCCCTCACGCCCTAGTTTCCGAGCACCGCTTCCTCCTCTCCCTGGTCACCTTTAGTTTGGCTGCCTGTTGCCACCTGTTTGGCTGTTGCTGTTCCTTCATGTTTATTTTCAGTATTGGGAAGGGCTGATTACCATCTGTTCTTCATCGTTTCTCGTAACTGGGCGTGTCCTTTCCACGGCTACATGCCAGGAGCTGTGCTGGGCACACGGGTAAAGGAGGGAGACCCAGGCCCATCCCCTCAATCTCAGAGTCTGCTGAGGGAGTGGACAGGCCAGCAGCCAAGTCAGATTCAGCTTATTGCAGCCTTGTGTGGTGGGCACCGGGCATGACAGAGAAAGGAAGAGAGGCCTTTAACACAGATGCCTGGAGCATGTGTAGAACTAGGCAGACTGGGTC